TTACTAGTTCAAAGTTAGTAAAATCTTTACCAAGAGCTTTGAGTCCATTAATGACATCCGTGAACCGGGTGTACAAGTCTCCGATGGACTCACTTGGTTTCATTCGGAAAAGTTCGTAAGAGTGCATAAGGATGTTGATTTTGGACTCTTTCACTCGGTTAGTGCCTTCATGAGTGCCCTCAAGAGTTCTCCAAATATCAAAAGCCGAATCACAAATTGAAACACGATTAAATTCATTTTTGTCTAGTGCACAAAACAAGGCATTCATAGCCTTTGTGTTTAAAGCAAAAACCTTTTTCTCCGATTTATTCCATTCGCTCATCGGAAGAGAAGATTTTTGAAATCCATTTTCAACAATAGTCCAAAGCTCGAAATCCATGGAAATGAGGAAGATCCTCATACGAGTCTTCCAATAAGTATAATCCGACCCATTAAACATGGGTGGACGTGTGATGGAATGACCCTCATGTATGCCGGAGTAAGCCATCTCTCTTGGGCATCAAACCAAATATGAGAGTGAGCCTAGCTCTGATACCAATTGTTAGGATCGGAGCGGCACTAAGAGGGGGGGTTAATTAGTGCAACGGATTAAAACGTCGGTTTTGATAAATCTTTCGTACGATAAAAATCGAACTCGGAAGTGCTTAACTTGAAAGCGTATTCGTAAAGTTGTGCAGCAAAGGTAATGAGTAAATAAAGCACATAAGAAGGTTTGCAGTAATGTAAATAGCAATAATGAAATGCAAACCAGAGATCACGTCGATTTTAAAGTGGTTCGGTCAAATGACCTACATCCACTTGCGAGGCCCTCTTCGATGAGGCTCCCACCTTTCACTAGCAAATCTCTTGAAAGGGAAGGGCAAATACCCCTCTTACAACTTTTTACAAGCGGTTCACTCTCTTACAGATTTTCAGCAAGAAAGAAGGAGGTGAACACTAGCAAATTGAAAACAAGACTTGCTAAGATTTTTCTAAGACCTTTCTCTCAATCAATTGCTTCTCAAAAAGTTGTAATCTCAACTGAAATTTGAGGGGTATTTATAGGCCTCAAGAGGATTCAAATTTGGGCTCCAAAATTTGAATTCTCTTTGGTTCCCGATGCTGGCGGTGCCACCGCCTGTCAGTGGCTGTGCCACCGCCTATTAGTTTCTGACACTGATAGTGGACTGGCGGTGCCACCGCCCAGCCAAGCGGTGCCACCGCCTAGCTCTCGGGTGCTGGGTGGTGCCACCGCCCAACCAGGCAATGCCACCGCCTGGCTCTCGGGTGCTGGGTGGTGCCACCGCCCAATCTGGCGGTGCCACCGCGAGACCCTTCGGTTCACAGGTTGGGCTTTAATTTCAGCCCAAACCAAGTCTAATTTTGGACCCAGTTGGCCCCTAACCAGGATATAGGATTATCTCTTAATCCTAATCCTAATTACATGTGAACTACATAACTAAAAACATCTTAAGCAAGTTTTCAACCGCGAACGTCGAGTCTTGTTCCGGCGAGCTTTCCGACGAACTTCTTCCGACGAACTCCCATCAAGCTCCCGATCTTGTGATGACTTTAATGAGTAGCCGAGCCTTCTCGGTGATCTCCGTGAACCTCCGACGATCTCTTCGGTGAACTTCCAAAAAATTCGACAGGTTCCCGATTTCTTCTCGGTTGGTTCCAGCAGCATCTCCGACGATTCTTCGGTCTCTTAAACGTCCATCGAACTTGACTCCGGTATTCTTGCTTTGTGTTTTCTGGTTATTGTAGTAAATCCTGCACACTTAACTCAATAATATGGATTAGATCAATTAACCCATCAATTGATTTTATCATCAAAATCCGAGATTCAACATCTTCTTGGCAAGTTCCGACGAGCTTCGAGCTTCTCTGGTAAGCTCCGAGATTTCTCGGCTGGTTCCGACAGAACTTCTGACGAACGTTCGGACTTTCGACGAACTCTCGAACTCCCAACGAAGTCATGTCCTTGACTCCGAGACTTCATTTTGCTTCATTCCTTGTATCGTAGTTAATCCTACACATGTAAAAACACACTTCGATCTAGACAATTAATACTAAGCATTAATCAAGTTGTCCGGCATGTCATTGATCCCTCGACGCTTCGTCCGATTCTTCGGCGCATCGTCCTCTCTTGCGGCTTATTGTCCAATCGGCCAGTTGACTCCGCAACTCCGATATCCTTCGCATAATATCCGCTCTATTTGGCTCGATGCCCGAATCCATGGCCCGAAGCCTTCTGTCGATACGTCGACTGATCCTCCGGCATGACGTCTAATCTTCTAACATGGTTTCCTCCGGCATAACATGATTCTTCCTACTTCAATTGTCTCATCCTGATCGAAGCATCCTGCGTCACTCAAAACACATATTAAAATCATAAACACTTATCGGTTGGTTTCATTATCAAAATCCGAGATTCAATAGGCAGATGCAACCTCATGGCGGTAGTGGCCGCCTGCGGGCAACAATAGTGACGCATGCATAGGCGTTGGCAGTGCACAGTATGTTTTTGGGCAAAATTATAGTTTTGCCCTAGGGTTTCCTTTTGGTCAAATTATAGCTTTACCCTTTTATATTTTATTAATATCTTTTAATTTTTTTGATAGTTCTGCCTTTTATAAATCTCATAATTCTAGTTTATATCCTATCAAATATTTATAGTTTTACCTTTATAAAATTAAGAATTTCTAATTTATATTCTCAATTATAAAATTAATAAAATTGATAAATATGATTTATTATAATTATATTGAATTTAATAAAGATTATATTTTGAATATTTGATTGGATTTAATTTTGATTAGAAAACTATAAATTACGGTTTACTTTTTTAGTTTTCTCATATGAATTATTAATTATATTTTTACATGTGGTAAATAAAATCTAATTATTATTCTTGGATATTCATTTGGTTATTCACATGTATATATTTAGAATTATAAAATAATATTCATCTTTCACATGGAGGCATGATTTATATGTTATTATGATTATCATATGAGTTTTCTTTTTGCTAATTAATGTTCAATAATTATTATGGTTGTTATTCTATTATTGAACTACTTAGCATAAATTAAATTAAAAAAATTAGATTAATATTATTTGTAACTCATTTCCCTAAGTTTTATCTGACTTGTAGTTACCAAAGTGGCTTGAGATAATAAGCTTTTGTTATTTGAATTATAATAAAAATTTTATCATTTATAAGATATTTTAAATTATATTTTATATTATTGTATTAGTCTTGTAGCCACCAAAATGACCTAGTCCAATAACTTATAAAATAATATTAAGGAATTAGTCTTAAACGATATTAAAAAAATAATATTCATAATGACATACATAATTAGGAGATTTAGATAATCCAAAGGAGAATCTACTTCAAATAATTATGTGATAGGATAGGATGATACTGTTTTAGATATCTTTGTAGTTTAGAGTTATATACCCAAAGGTAACAATACTATTCAATAAGGATGGTATCAGTCCTCTATAGATGATCTTTATCGAACATTAGATATGTTAATATTTCACCCAAAGGTGTAATATAGATGATATCAATAGTTCATCAATTTTTTTGATAAACTCAAAACATTAATATTATTTTATATTTTGTAATGGTACTTTCGTCCATACATTCTTATGCTTTTAGTGTCCCTGTACTCTCTATATCAAATTATTTAGAATGGTTATAACATGTGCAATTTACACTAGGTGTATTAGATCTTGATTTAGCATTGCTTGTTGAAAAACCGATAGATGTTATCTTAATTGAGATGTTAGGATCAGAGTCTTTCCCTCAACTTATCTCCCTAATTATCTAGTTCCTTTTATAGATTCATAGTGATCCTAGATTAAAGACGATGGCTTTGCAGATCAAACAGAGATTTGACATCAAAAGGTACATATCGTTAAACAAGATCTAATTATTTAATTTCAATCCTAGCATAAAAAATTATTTTTATATTTAATATAATATATTATATATTTTATACTTATAAAAATATATTAAATAATTATACTTGAATAATTACCCATTATTACGAGTCATTTTTGAGACAAATGCATATCCTAACCTACCCATGGGAAGATTGAAGTGATTCGTCATATGGTCCACAATGATTGCGACATCCTATCTCGATCGAGTCGACTAAATAACATTATGATCAACCTAGGATCCTATCATGATACACAGATCGAAATCGACCAAACTCCAGTGTCTCATCCATGTACCCACATTTCATTATGGCTTCACATGGGATCGAAGAAGGTCCATGTCTTCAACAAGTAGTATATTTTCCACCTTGGAGTCGCCCATCGAACTGCCTATGTGTGAATTGGAGCGGACAGGCAGGATAGATGTGGGCTCCTCATGATAGGAGAGGTGAAGTGCTTGCCGAATTATGTGGGTGAGTTATTATGAACCATGCGAATAAAGACCTGCATTTCTACACTGGTCAATCACAGCCATTCCCAAGATAGGAATTTGGACTTTGACTTTTCAAACTGAAGTTTCTTCTTAGCTTCATCGTAAAATTTGACGCAGTCAAGTCAAATTGAATTTCGGTCAACTCACGTCAAGCCGGTCCACCCATCTTGATCCAACTGATCTAATTGGATTGGGTCTATCAATTGGATGAGCCGGTCCCGACGAATTGTAGAATGTAGGACGTTATCCCTGGTTTAAACATTTGATTTGATGAATCATCAATTTAATTCAGTTTTTAAGTTTTACCATGGAAGACTTTGAGTTGACCAAAGCAATTATTTAGAAAACATAACGGGTAAGTTTATGTGCCAAACTAAAGATTTGGAAAAGCAAATCTAAAATAAATTAAGAAAAAAAAGGGTAACGTCTTTCTACAATCACTATTCTTGTCTACCTTGCCGGTATTACTCGACGGGCTACCTTCGCGGTCGTTGGAATAACATTGTTGTTCATTAGGGCCCATTTCTGGTAACGTTGGGGTATTAGCGTTGGTTCTTATATTTTTGGTGAAGGCGCCATTCCTGGGATTCAGCGGTATCCGCCCGTTGCGCCCCTCCTTCAACGTTTGTCGACTGCGTGACGGGCGACGCCGCCAACGAAGCAGCAAAGAAACCGCCTTAAAGGTCGCCCAATTGCCCCACGAACCGTTAAATTCCCATCGTTCTCACCCGAGACCACCAAATCGGATCGAGCGAGAGTCCTTTGGCACGATTCGAGAAACCCTAAAGACATGATCTTGGAAGCTGCTGTGCAGGAGGGGGATGCAGTAGTTTTAGGGCCAATCTTGCAGCGGGAGGGAGAAATCCTAACGAGGAGCATTGGCGGGGATGTGCTGCTGCTTCCGCCTTCTAACTTCGGGGTGGTGGACCGAGGGATCTACCGCTCCGGGTTCCCCAGCGAGGAAAATTTCCCCTTCTTGAAGGCTCTGAACGTGCGATCCATCGTGTGAGGTTTCCTTTGTTTTGTTTTTGTTTCCCGTTCATATTTATGGTTTCTTATTCTTGAAATAGATGGGGTTTTGATCGGTGCGTTTGTATCTTGGGCAGGTACCTGTGCCCGGAACCGTACCCAAAGGTCAATGCCGAGTTCGTGAGGTCGCAGGGGATTCGGCTTTTCCAGTTTGGGATTGAAGGAAGCCGGGTAAGTTTATTGTCCTGATGTGTTTTGCGTCCGGCACCTGATTTGATGGGTTGCCCAAATTCTCAACATGTAATTTCTTTTCCTTGCTGCTGAAAGCTATTGATGCCGAATCCCTTTTGGGTTTACCTTCGTGAATTTACGTTACAAGTAAAAATAAAGAAAATCAGAAAGTAGGTTTCCTTTGCAGTGAAATTTGTTATAGAATTTGAGAAACAAGTTACCGAAGTCCCACAATTTTCGTTTGTTTTTTTACAAATCTTGATGATTGAATACAAATATTGAGAACGTTGTCTTTATGTGTTTGTACGAAGGAATGATTCATTTTGTTTTTTAGGAATTCATAAAATCTACCAATTTATTGTCTTTCTTTGAAGCAACAGTATGCCTTTTAGTTTCAAGTAATAGGATATCTACACTCGATCAGTACACATTGTGCAGCTGCACGGTGTGATCAGTCCTCAGGTACCAATCAACAGTATAAGTATGTAGGAGGATAGTTATGAAGGATGATAGATATGATATACTTTTAGCACCTATTCTCTATCAACACATAGATTAACACAAGATCGGAGCACATTTTCTGTAGGACAAACTTTAGGAGGATATGTTTGTCACAATGGAATACCATGTGAACATTTGTGAAAGTTTGTATACAATCAATTTGATGGCAAACTCTGAAACCTATGCTATCAATTTAAATGGAGTGGAGAAGCTTGCATATCCAAGTCATTATTTTGTAAGTTCAATTCTTTATAGATAAATTCTGGTATTTGTAATTTCAATTTGATTTTAGAGAGATAAATTCTATAGAACCAACCAGAAAATCAACAAATATAAACAGGTGAAATCAGTTCCAGGACACCCAAAACACAATTAAGATTTGACCAATTGTCTTATAAGAGCTGAACTAAACCTCTATTATATTAATACACTGGAAGGAACTGTTAGAACAAATACCCTTGAGGTCAGACTCCATTATTGAACCGTTTGAACCTGAACTTAGTAGCTTACTATCACCATTTTGTTCTTTCATCAAGAATACTTTTCATCAAATCCTAACAAAAAAAAGCCTTCCCATGTCTGGTTCAGTTTGTTCATTTTGTCAATCTTTGCAATTCAACCATTACTTAGTCTGGCTTAATCCAAGTTAAGTGCAACGTCAATTGACAGTAGCTAATGGCAAGGAGAAATAATAGAAGCTTGGGCTTACAGGGTATACAAAAGATCCAAACATTTGAACAGGTAAATAAGAGTTCTAATATTGGCAGGGTTTAATTGGAAATTCCTTCTTTTGTTTATTGCATGTATTCCTACATTTTATAAATATAAATATTTATGTCGTCTACATTGATCCAAAGATTAAACTAAAGAAAATTATTGCAATGTTTTAGACAAACAAAAGAACAACAACGTAGTTGTCAGAAATAACAACCAGTGAAATTCAATCTGGAATGTGTGGTTACATGATTCAACAGGCAATATACTATCTAGCATCTCCTATATATGGTCATATGATGTACTTGTAAAACATGTCAAGAGGCACTATTATCTATTAGGCATTTGCAAACCATGCTTTTGCATTGCAATCCAACTAATTGCCAGTGTAGTTTCTAATCTTGTTTGCACCGATATGAAATTCTAAATTTATGCATTTTCTTGTAGAAGTTGTTTAAGTAAAGTATTTTTCTTAATTTTGTTGCAATATTATCAGTGAAAATCCAGTATGAGTTTTAAATAATGCATCTTTCTTAGTTTCGATGCATTTGCCTGTAAAATTTGTTAAATAATGCATGTCTATCAGTAACTTTATTGCAATTTATGTTACAATAACAGCATTGTCTGCATATGCAGGAGTCATTTGTAACTGTATCTAACCGTCCTATCATGGAGGCTCTAAGAGTCTTACTTGGTACTGAAGTTAACATATTATTTATAGCAGCTTATATTTAATTTTGCTTGCTTATCATATGTTCCCGTCGAATATTGGGTGCATGCTTAGCTCTCCTTTTTCTGTTTTCAGATATAAGGAACCATCCTATTCTAATCCACTGCAAACGAGGAAAGGTATGAAATCTAGATTGAATCAATATTTTGCATCTCACATACTTGTTCAGCATCATATTCATCACTCACTCTTATTTTCCTATTAACCCTTGCAGCATCGGACCGGTTGCCTTGTCGGCTGTTTCAGAAAATTGCAGAATTGGTGCCTATCCTCCATGCACGAAGAATACATAAAATTTGCATCACCCAAGATTCGGCCATCAGACATGAGATTTATTGAGATGTTTGATGTTTCACACATGATGCATTGCGTACTTGGTATTATTTATAGGTACCACGGTTTTGGTCACCAGGCTCCACGCCTTGTTTATCAAAAGGCATAGTGGCATGCCAGCGACTTCTAAGCCAGGAAACTCTTCTTACACAGAAAGCTTGTAGCACAATTGTCCATTTGCTTTCCTGACCTTTTATCTGCAAGGAGAAGCATGTATATGGATTCTGCTTGCACTTCGTTGTCCTAAACATTTTTGTGTTTGTTTTTCTATACAGGATATGACTTGGGAAAGATTGTAACTCTAATGAGAAGCTATGTGTGCAGGTGTAAGAACTACATATTTAATGAAAACAAATCTTTTTGCAGCTTTTATTGCTCGAGAAACAGACAAGGATGATAGACTGTAATGACTAATTGGCTTGCTCTGTTTCTTTAGTCTGCCTTCTTAGTTGCAAGCCGCAGCACAAAAGCACGCTCTTAGTCCAAGAAGATTACCATATCCAATCAATCAACCGGATGATTTGTGATCAAACCATCGATTCATATATACTTTTGATATACTCATATGATCTAGGATCGAAGCTGGTCGTAATTATAATTGGTTTATAGGTGTGATAGGTTCTGGCAACTAGATTGATACCCCTAATAACGTTAAGGACGGTGTAATCATTATGATTAAGAGTAGAAACGTTTGATGATGCCAATGAAATATGTATAGGAGAAAGTTATTGTAAACCAATAAAATTATATAACAGAATAAACGCGTCACACGAGTTTCATTGATCAGTCAATGGTGGTCAAATGTAAATAATTTTACCCGTACAACTAGAAATGCTACATGTGATAATACTCACTGGTTAGTAATTAGTTTCTGGTACAATTGACCGTTATCACGGACATACCATCATCCTTTCTTGTCTACTAGAAGCCATCCACAATTCGAATAACGACCGGTATAATTCTTGTAACGGCCGTTATATTCGCATCTTTGTCGTATAACAACTGCTCCGAAAAATTATCCATAACCTATATGGACTCCTCCATTTTTTTTGTTTTAATATGAATAGATATACTTCTGAACTGTGAAGTCCTCCGACGTTTGCTGGATATGCTCATCTGCTATGGTTTCTTCTCTGACTTCACTGTTCGTCCAAGCCATTCCATGCGTACGCTCTCTCTCTCTCTCTCTCTCTCTCTCTCTCTTATAGCATCAATTCTTTTTTTCTTTTACTTGAAAGAGAAAGCTTTGCGTGATTTCGTAGTCGTAGATCTAGATCTTTTCCTTTGGCAAGTGTAGGAGTCGTCCGAAGTACTTGGTATCCCGAGTTTATGTCGTGAGTCTCCCTTGGTCTTTGCCTCCGTTTACCTGTTTAATCTCGAACAAACTTACTGGTTAAATCGTGCTAAGTAGCGTGAATTTGGGTTCAAAGTCTAGGTTCCTGTTTCTTCTTGTTGAATGTCTGGCCATGTCATGTTGCTATGACATGTTTGCCGAAATGCCTGTGTGATGGATTATTAAGTTCTAGAGGAGGTACATCCTTTCTGGATATTAGCCATTTTCTATTTGTTTTAGTTGGTAGTACCGGAGTGAAAATGTTTTTCTTTTAATTGAAAGATGATAGAGTGCGCCCAAGTTTAGAAAAGTGGAACAGCTGCGTCGTCGGTGGTGACTAGTTAAAGGGCTGCTGCCAACATGGGTTGCAGGTTGGCCACTATTGGTCATGGGAGGTGGCTGGTTAAAGGGCTGCTGCCATTGGGATGGTGGCTAATTGTGATTCAAATACATGATTTTTGTATTCGTATGTTGAAAATTTTTTAATTTAGTGGGAAATACAAAATTTCATAACTTCAATTTTTCCTAGAAAATTCTTAATGATGGTCTAATATCCAAATACAGAAGATGAACACGAGCATCTTGAGATTTTGGTTTTGTTTCTTGTGATAGCTTATTTGTTTTTTCTGATTATCTAATATTTAGTTTGCTTTTTCTGTCACATAATAAATTTATTGTATGATAACTTATTTGAGTGCTAGTACTTATTGTTGTGTTTTGTGTAGTTCATAATAGCTACTTTAATAAAGGGTGAAACATTTTTGTCACGATCCTGATAAGATAACTGATCCATTAATTCTGTTAAGCATGAACTACTTGTTCAATATGCTTAAACCCAATTTAATAGTAGTATGCTTATAAGTCAATATGTCTTTTGTCCACTTTCATTGGAGGACTAAGCCGGATTGTTACAATCTCTTTGGGATTCACTTTTTTGTCAAGGCTCAACATAGCCTAGAATCATATTCTAACATGGTACATATGGGACTTAACCCAATGGTGACTCTAATATTAAATAAGTCTTGATACCATTTGTCATGATCTGACCTAATGGGATAACTAACCTATTAATTTCGTTGAGCTTGAACCATTAGTCCAAATACTTAATTGAATTTAAACCGTTAGCCCAAAATACTTAAGCCTAAATTGAGGTGTTACCTAGCATAGTGCATATTAGGCCTAGCTCACAAATAACACTTGATATGAATCATCAAGTTGATTATAATTTTGCCAAAGACCCGTTAACTATTCAGGGAAGACCAATGACAAGAGCTAAAGCTAAAAGGATGAAAGAAGCCTTAACTTGTTTATTGGAAGACATTTGGAAGGAGCAAGCTGGTTAAGACTCGGTCAAGGCTCTATGAATGCAAGAAGAGCCTAAAATGATCAACATGATTCAAATAAGTCCAAATCATGAAGCAAAAGTCCAGCTTTGAGAGAAGGATGAAATTTTAGCCCATTTTGAAGAATAAAGGTTTTTCAGCCATATTGGACCATATTAGGAATTGTGGGTTTATTTATTAATAATCATTCAAATCAATTCAAAGCATATTCATGAGTGATCTATATTCATGAATTATGAATATGAATATCATTTAATGTATTTAATGGATTCATTCCCTTTGTACTTGGCTTTTGTACTATATAAACATGACTGACTCCTTTTGTAAGGAGGCAATTGAGAAGTATAATCATTTTTCAACATTGATGAGTGTTTTGTTTTTAAGTTCTTGTATGAATTTTGGAACTTATAAAGCTTTTCTACTTGTGACGTTCAAAACCCAAAAATCTTTGCTTTTCTTTTCAACTTATCAAACTTCTTAGTTTGTGGCGTTTTAAGGGAATCAAAGTGCTGTTCTAATTATTTCATCAATTTTTCATTGATAAAGTGATTAGAATAGTTTTCCTTATTTCAATTTTGAACGATCCGTTTTATTTTAATTTGTTGGAGGGTGTCAATTTGCATTCCATATGTATTATAGCTCTTTTCCTATCGAGGTGTATGGTTGGTAAGTTGATGATTTCTATCATTTGGTATCAGAGCTCGGCTCAATTTGAGGTTTGCTTATCCATTTATTTGCTATCTTTTAGCTTTCCCTTTTCTCCTCTTCTTCTTCTTTCAGCACCATATCTATAATTGCTGTTCTTCCTTCATCTTCATCTTATGTTGTTATTACTGTTTTTTTTTATTTTTTTGCACTTTGTAGTATAAAAAGAAAAAAAAAGTCAGAAAGTAAAAAAAAAAAAAAAAATCAAAGGTAAAAAAAAAGAGAGAGAAAATCAAAGGTTAAAAAAAAGGAAAAGAGATCAGAATTTAAAAAAAAAATTATGGATTCAAGGAATTCTTGCAAATTACATAATTCTATCTTCGTTTATTTGAATTCTTGTTTCGATGTGGAAATCTTTCTTCATTCCGAAAAATTTTCTTTGTTCATTTGATATTTGAATTCTAATATTTGCTTATGATTGAAGTGCATTACACACACCTTTAAATTGGCCTACCTTTTGTTTTCTTTTAGACCTGCCCAATTTTACTTCCCTTGAATTGCCATAATCTGAATTTTTTGTTTATGTATCTTAGTTAATCTAGGAACCCAAAGAACAAAACAAGAGAGGTAAAAGGCAAGAGTAATGAGATCAGTATCGAGAAAAGCCAAAAATTGTATGAAACACGAGCGGAATGAATCAAATCTTGAGTGAAACATGTGAGGGAGGGTTGGTGAGGTTATTCTAACTTTGTTCTGCAGGTTGTAAACATGTATAAAGATAAAAAAACAAGTTTTTCATCAAATGATCTTTTGGTTCAAGCAATGCAGCAACAATTTGAACGTATGTTCAAAGTGATAGGTGATGTAAGATATCATCTAGAAAGGCATGATGATGTAATTAATAGATTGCAAGGTGAACCATGGCGTGGGAGACAACCAACCTTTATCAATGATGAATATGATGGTGGAGATGACATGGATGATGACAAAGTTACTCTAATTGGTCAAGATGTTAATCCTAGGAGACAAATACGAGAGGACGTTTTGATGGTGTGGACAGAAACTGTCACGCCCCTCAAAAATATCCATAATATTAAAAATTTTCATCACAAACTAATCCAGGATCCAAACTAACATTTGAGGACATTGAAAACATTCTATCAAATTCATATCTATAAACCTGCGCAGTTTATAAACATACAACACATTGCTCGATGATTCATAAAATCTGAACCCAACTCTTCAAATTAATAACCACAATATAAATTCACAAGTGGGGAAGTCTATGCAGTCACCAAACCAACGATTACCATAAGTTCATATCATTACATGAATTTAACTTAACATTCCAAAATCCTAAACATGAGGGATCCTTTAACTTACACAAAATCCACAGGTTTAGATTCATTGTC